TTTTTTGAGATGGAGTCTCGTTCTATTGCCCAGGCTAGAGTGCAGTGCTGAGATCTTGGCTCACTGCAGCCTCCGCCTCCAGGGTTCTAGCAATTCTCCCGCCCTAGCCTCTCGGGTAGCTGGGATTACAGGCATGCGCCACCACACCCAGCTAATTTTTGTATGTTTTAGTAGAGAAAGGGTTTCGCCATGTTGGCCAGGCTGGTCTCAAACTCCTGACCTCAGGTGATCCACCCACCTCGGCCTCCCAAAGTGCCAGGATTACAGGTGTGAGCCACTGCACCTGGCCTAGATACTTTTTCTAGGTTGTTTTGTTTGTTTGTTTGTTTTTAAGATGTAAGCTTAAAACATTAATTTTAGATCTTCGTGTGTGTGTGTGTGTGTGTGTGTGTGTGTGTATAGAGGTCTCACTCTGTTGCCCAGGCTGGAGTGCAGTGGCCTAATCACAGCAACCTTAAACTCTTGGGTTCAGGCTCTCCTGTAGCTAGAACTACAGGCTCGCACCACCCCACTTAGCTAATTTTTTTACTTTTTTGTAGAGATTGGGGTATCTCTATGTTGCCCAGGCTGGTCTCAAATTCGTGCCTCAAGCAATCTTTCCATCTCGGCCTCCCAGAGTGCTGAGATTATAGGCATGAACCACCATGACTGACCTGTTTCCTTTTCTAATGTAAGCTTTTTTTTTTTTTTTTTTAAAGACAGTCTTGCTCTGCCACCCAGGCTGGAGTTCAGTGGTGCAATCTCGGCTCACTGCAATCTCTGCCTCCCAGGCTCAGGCGATCCTCTTGCCTCACCCTCCCAAGTAGGTGTGCCACCACGCCTGGCTAATTTTTGCATTTTTTGTAGAGACAGGGTTTCACCATATTGCCTAGGCTGGTCTCCAACTACTGAGCTCAGGTAATCTGCCTGCCTCAGCCTCCCAAATTGCTGGGATTACAGGCATGAGCCACTGCACCCTGCCTTCTAATATAAGCCTTTAATGCCATATTTTGTCCTGTAAGCACCACTTTAAATACATCACAGAAATCTTGATATGTTGTATTATCATTTTCATTCAGTTCAAAATATTTTCTTTCTTTTTTTTTTTTTTTGAGATGGAGTCTCACTCTGTCACCCAGGCTAGGGTGCAATAGCATGATCTCAGCTCACTGCAACCTCCGCCTCCCGGGTTCAAGCTATTCTCCCACCTCATCCTCCCAAGTAGCTGGAACTACAGGCACGCACCACCACACCCAGCTAATTTTTGTATTTTTAGTACAGACAGGGTTTCATCATGTTGGCCAGGCTGGTCTCAAACTCCTGACCTCGAATGATCCTCCTGCCTTGGCCTCCCAAAGTGCTGGGATTACGGACCTGAGCCACCATGCCTGGTCCAAAAATATTTTCCTTGTGACTTCCTTTTTGACTCATGGGTTATTTTTGTAGTGTGTTAATTTCTAACTATTTGGGGATTTTTAAAGATATCTTTCTGTTATTGATTTCAGTTTAATTCCATTATTTTCAGAGAACTCACTTTATATGACTTAAATTCTTTGAAATGTTTTATTTTGTTTTATGACCCAGAAAGAATATGGTCTATGTTCATGAATGTTTCTTTTTGACAATTAAAAAAAACATTTTGAAATGAAGTGAGAATGTCAGTGTGAATTTCCCCAGAGCTGCATCGTCTGAAGTTCATACCAGGTTAAATCAAGTTTGTGTGGAAAATTAACTTTATGGACTCCACAAGGTTCAGTACCCAAAGAGCCTGGAACTGTGCCAGGCCTAGTGGTAGTTAAAGTGGGAGCCAGTGTACTGGTTATTTATGCCCAAGTAGGCAGTGAACCAGAAAGCTAGCATGAGTTGCAGCTGCAAATTGTTTTGTTTGGAGGAATTTGAAACAAAATATTAGAGAACAACTTTTAAAAGGAGATAAACAGTCGCTGTCACCACTTAGCACGAAAGAGAGAAGGTAACATGGCCTCTAGACTAGTCAAACTGACAGTCCTTTCCGTTGGCAGGTGCGACACTGGTTTTGATATCAAAGAAGTATATCCTGGAAAGTATTGCTCTGGGGAATCTCAGAAATGGTCTGTTCTGTGGGGGCTTTTTCTCAAGCCAGTGCAAAGTGAAACAGCATTATATTCTGCTGACAGTGATCTTTTCTTTGCAGTTCTGTATAATTAGCAAGAACACTTCAGTGTTCTTAGAACAGTACAAACCGTACTATGGTATTTTAATCGTTTAAAGAAAAATAAACATTCAGTAGAGTAACACATAGTCATAGAAAAAGCCTGGAATTTGGAGTCAGACGACCAGGATTTCTAGCTTCTTCCTGGTGTTTGATCTTGTGCAAGATAATTACTATTGCCTGTACAACAACAATATTATTTAATGAGTGCTTACTTTGTGGCAGGCATTATGCTAAGAATATTTGACCCATGAGCCTCACAGTAACCCCAGGAGATAGGCAGTAATATTATCCTGAGCTTTCAGATGACTCTCATTGAGTCGGAGAGGAAAAGTAACTAGCCTAAG